GTGGCCGCCACGCTGCAGCCGGCGCACCACGCTGATCCGATGGCAGGAGCCAGGGACTTATCCTGGTCTCCCATGGGGTACAGGGTCCAAGCACTTGGGCCATCCTCCACTGCACTCCCTGGCCACAGCTGAGAGCTGGCCTGGAAAAGGGGCAACCGGGACAGAATCTGGCGCCTGACTGGGACTAGAACCCAGTATGCCGGCGCCGCAAGGCGCAGGATTAGCCTAGTGAGCCGCGGCGCCAGCCAACAAATTTCAACATGGCTAAAGGTTTTCCCAACCACCTTTCTGTGGGGGAACATGGGTTATTACAGTGCCAACATTTAATGAGTCCTAGCTAAGGGAAGTTCACTAGTATCATCATCTCAACATACAACACAAATACAAGACCAGCAGAGAAAGAAACTCCTTCTTCAATCATTGGCATGGTAATAAAGCTAACAATACAAATAAATGAAATTATAATTTCTTTGAGATTAGATATAAGCAGAATTTGCTTTAAAAGGGAAAGATGAACAAGGTTTAGATATAGCCATTAATTATCTCTTTATAACCTGCAGAGGGCGCTCCAGTCCCTTGACGGAAAAATAAAAAATTTAGGAGGGTAAGAATCATTTACCTTTCAATTTTTATTAAACAATCTCTTTTTTTATAGGAACTGTTTAAATGGCTTGGGTTTAACTGTCTTAATGTATTATCAGATATGAAAATCTGACTTCCTGCTGGGAAAACCTTCAGGACAGGTGGCTACTGTGTGTCACAGGCATTCGCAGCACGCCGAGGTCAGTCACGCAGACTGGCCAGGTCCTCCAAGAAATAACCTGGACCTCCACAGTACCGTTCCCAAGCAGGAAGCTAGCGACAGGCACCACGCAGCACTGAGCCAGGTTGTACAAGGAGAGTAACACTGTTCTCTACAACTGCTGGTGAGGAAAACAAGCAGCAGGTTTCAGAGCCTTTAGCTCTTGACAGGTTCAACCATTCTAGAACAGCCATCTCATGAGACTCATGTCAATTTTTTTTTTAACGAATCCTTTCCTTATTATTAACTAATACTGGGTTTGTAGGGAAGGTCTCTGAGTGCCTGTTTTACAAATATTCTTATTAAACCCACCATATCAGACTCTAGAATTGTCTACATTTACATAAATACCAGCACATACAAATGTATGTTATATATATTCTATGATGGCATATTTTAAACATACTATAGCATTTTATTAACTAGATACTGCATGGAGTAATTATTAAAAACTTTCTAATTTTATTTTTTAAAATTCATTTGAAAGGCAGAGAGACAAAGATCTCCTATCCGCTGGTTCATTCCCCAAATGCCTGCAGCAGCGAGGGCTGGGCCAGGCTGCAGCCAGGAGTCTGCAACTCAATCTGGATCTCCCATGTGAGTGGCAGAGCCCCAAGGACTTGAGTCATCACCTCCTGCTTCCTAGGGTGTGCATTAACGGGAAGCTGAATCGCAAGCAGAGACAAGATTCCAACCCAGCCAGTTGTGGGATGTGGGCATCCCAAGCAGTATCTTTTTTTTTTTTTGACAGTCAGAGTTAGAGAGAGAGAGAGAGAGAGAGAGAGAGAAAGGTCTTCCTTCCGTTGGTTCACCCCCCAAAAGGCCGCTTTGGCCAGTGAGCTGTGCCGAGCCGAAGCCAGGAACCAGGTACTTCCTCCTGGTCTCCCATGAGGGTGCAGGGCCCAAGCACTCGGGCCATCTTCCACTGCCCTCCCGGGCCACAGCAGAAAGCTAGACTGGAAGAGGGGCAACCAGGACAGAATCTGGTGCCCCGACTGGGACTAGAACCCGGGGTGCTGGCGCCGCAGGTGAAGGATTAGCCTAGTGAGTTGTGGCGCCGGCATCCAAGCAGTATCTTGACATCTGACCCAGCACCCACTTCATTTACCTTTATGAAGAAAATATGTGGTCTGAAAATGAGCATAATTATTCTCTTAATGGGAATAAGCTCCTTTTCCTCAAGAAAGGGAAAAAAATTGATTTTACTTACTGCTATACTAAGAAACAAAGCTTTGAAATCAGAAATCTGAAGATGGATAATTGTGTGTGACAGTAGCTTTTCCCCAATCGGACTTCTTTACCACGTGGCATGCCACTTTCTAAGGGTGATGGCGCTAGTGGGAGAGGGGAGAAGCAACCCTGTAGTTTAGTAAAATAGAGGCATTTTCGCAACTGAAGTTGTAGTCCCTTCCTTGATTTTTGGGTTATCTCAGGGCGAAATATGTGTACACTTTAGTAAATGAAACAGAACTAGAAGCTATACTTGAAATGTAGTTTTTGTTTCTTCTTTCTTAAAGCCTATGTTTCCTAATATAACTGCAGGCAAAGCAAAAAGAAATGTTTGTTCTATTACGTAAGACATAAACTTCATTGGGTATTCAACTGACTTTCTAACTCAGCAGACAGGACTTTACATCTTCAAATACTGAAAATAAATTGCATTCTTGGCCCCTGCTTTAAAAGGTTATAGAGAATAAACGCACATCCTCGTTGTGTTCTAGTGATCTCCCTAATCTCAGTTGCACTTTGTCAGAAAGAGGTAACTGGTAGTTAAGTGAAATACCCTAGATCAAAGGGGGATTAATCACCAACTGAATCCTTGCTGAATAAACCTGTCATTCAAGAAAATTATTTCCACTGAACTTAGCAGAGGATTGAAGGTATTTGCATAACAGGGACCAACGTACTTCAGCCAGGTTAAAAGGTTCAGAATTCATCCCATGTTTAGCTTTTTGCCTCCTTTTCCTTTCAGCAGCCTGGTACAATGGTTTCTAATCTGATAATACAGCTAACTATCTAAATGATGTCAGAACAGGAAAGTATTGCAAAGTTTGGATGAGGGATGGATCAATTTCACTTTCAGTAACTCCTAAATCTGATTTGTTGGAATTTAAGATGTAATCCGAAAAAAGTCCCTTGAACCTGAGGACTATTTATTAACAGCCCTTTTCTGACCTTTGTCTTAGGGACAAGCATTCTGCTGTGGCAGCAGTGCCTGCAGAGGTTCTGGATAATTCACCTCCCTCCCTCCCTCGCCGGGGCAGCACAGGGGTCTGTGTGTCCAGGGATATGGAGGACTTTGAAATACTGCAGCAAAAACTAGAAGGAAAAATATTAGTAGCTTTTATGTAAAATGTCTGCTTCGAAAGATCTTAACTCATACAGTATATAAAACTATAAGAACTTTCATCTAGTAGAAGTACTGATGTGGCATGAAAAAATTAAACTATTTTTACAGGACAGACTAATGTGTAATAAAAAAAACCTGTTTAAACAAATAATTCTCCTAAGAATTCCTGACAAGGCTATTTACTACAAACTTAACATTTGAATTAATTATTGAAGAAGTAAAAAAAAAAAGCCACCACTATAAGGGTATCCTAACTACTTTGATGCTGGCTTAAGAAAGTTTAAAAGTCTTGTCATTAAAAAGTGGAAGAAAAAATGGTTTTGCCAAAATATCATGAGCCACCTTTTCTACAGCTCATTCTCAGACATCTGACACTATTTTTGGGGGGGGGGGGGGGCTCACTTAAGAATAACTACCCATAAGATAGAATCGGACTTCATAATCATTTTTTGGCACTAAAAAGGAATTCAGTAAATTTTGCATCTAGAGTAGGTCTGACACCATCCAAATCTTTCACTGGAAGTAGTTGCTCATATTCACTGCAAACGCAAAGCATCTTTCAAGTAAAAAATGCAAAGAATAGTTATCAAAGAAAATGAATAAAATCCATAGTGAGATAATTTTTTAGAAAATGATTGAAGTTTTAACCCAAGAAAGGACTCTTAGAGTGTCTTATAGCTTAGAATAAGAACATGTCAATCACGATTAAGCTTCTGGAATCGGAATCCCTTTGAAATGCAGCTGTTTCTTCTTTAATTGTGGCAGCGGACTCTGAAGAAAAGAAAGGTCCAGCCTTAAAGATGAGTAAGGAATACAAAATAGCTCAGGATTAGTCGTGGAGTTCAAAGGTCGCTAATTACACTAAGGAGTTCCCAGACACAGGGAAAACATTAAACAGGTCACCTACCAAACGGGAAACAGACTTTGTCTTCAGAAATTATCCTGAAGTGACAGGTTTCTAGACAAAATCAAAAGCATCAGTGTGCCCAGATGATCTCAATGGAGGAAAACGCTAAGTTGCTTCGGTTCTGTGGTGTTATGTAAGAATGCAATGGCAACAGATGGCACCAGGTCCTTCGTCGCCCCTACACTTCCCAGTATTCCTGATCTTTCCCTCAGGTTTCTAGAAACATCAAATTAAAGATCGTTGGTTTTTCTAACTGTTCACAGAGAAAGTTTTATTTAGGGAATAATTATGTTGAATCTCTGCCTTCTCACTAGAAAAATACCTCTTGCCCATCTTACTATGATTGCCAAATGGCATCATTAATATTAACACAAGTGAAATGTTAAGTTTTGTGTTTAAGAGTGATAAATAACTTATGAGGAATGATATTTTCTTTTAACAAAAGGAACAATTTTTACTACTGATTATCTATGATTAAGCTAGAATAACAATTTAAAGTCCTGGTCAGACAGTTAGTCTCTTTTCTTTGTTACTTGGGATAAGTTTGAACATAGAACCTTATGGCATGATAATGCTTTGCAGAAAATGAGTTTATAATGAGTAGGACTGATCTTAATTAAAAAATCGTATTTCAAATCCTAAATGTATATGAACTATCCCTTCAAATTCTTATACCTCTCTTTCAAGGAGTTAGCAGCTTTTTCTAAGCTTTTCCTTAAGAGACTCATTTAAAAATAGAACCCAAGATATAACTGGATTGAATATTAACCTATAATGCATATTTTTAAGTAGTGCTTCTAATTTTGTTCTGTAAGAAGAACTTTACATAGATTAAGTTTTGAGGCTCTTGATTTTCTTGAATTGGTAATAAGTCTAAACTGACCATGAACTTCTCTGAAAACATAACGTGACATTAAGTGTACAGACAGGTAGGGAACAAAGAATACTATATGGTTTGTGAATAAATCAAGCAAGTGGTAATAAGAATATGAAAGTGACAAATTTAGAGACAATATGCTATAAGAGACTGAAATAAATTAAATGAATTTATCTATGGAATAGTTTTTGAATTATTACCTGAATTCACTCATTTAAAAATCCAGTATTCAGAAATTTATCTTTAAAAAATTTCGTTGCAGACACTGAATGATCACAAAACACTCTGCTCACCTTGTGAAGGTATCCCACCCATCTGACTGTGCCTGACTGACGTCCTAAGCAAAATGTTGTGGCAGATCAACAAGCTTCCTTCAAGGTAATCTGAGAACAGAGATCAACGCCCCAAACAGAAAGATGCAGACTCTTTATTAGTGAATCAGATGGTTCTAAGAAAGGATACTGTATAAATCATTTTGCTCTGTCTCCACTGGCTGTTTTTTTAAGAGATTTATAGTTGTTGGGTGGTCTCTGGTATTCTTTAACATGTTGAAAGAGGAGCTTAGTACTTAGGTTTGGAAGAACCAACAGTTATCCTGCACATCTTCTACAAATACATTGCAGCAGCTGCCTCAAACTCTACATTGAGAAGGAGCCTGGGTTTTTACCCAGGAAGGCTCAGTGTAGAAAGGGGGCTGTGATTGATTAGCAATGCCTGCTGCATTGAACAGGGCAGGAAGGCGAGCAGATGACAGAATGGCCCAGGATGAGTCTCAAGTAAGCCAAAGTGACTCACTATGCTTCTGTGCTATGAGTCATATTGCAAAAGATTAAATGGAAAAAAACTGGAGACATTACCATTTGAAATGTTTTTAAACTATATCAGATTAAAAATATCAATAAAAGTGTTTTTCTAATTAAAAATCATTCAATGATTATTCATTCACTGGTTATATGCAGACAAGTAGAAAAAAAAACAAACAAAACTATGATTCCATTTAAGCTATGTTACCATCATTATAAATCCCATATATACATGAGAAAATTACAGTAATAATGATCCATATGTTACTGGAGCAGGGGCTTTAGAATTCCAGATGTAGTAATCAGAAGAAATTAGCTTCCGGTCTAAGAAAAAGAAAAAAATTAATGATAAGATTGTTTTATCCTGGCAAAACTTCAAGAAGAAAGCAGGCGTAATTTTTTTTTTTGAAATAGAGGAATATAATCATTTCAAGGTAGCATATTGAAATATTCATTTTAATTCTACCGTTATCTAGGTTTTGTTATACCTTTTACTACTTGAAAAATATGGGCTGGGCTGGGTGTTTGGCCTGGTGATTAAGACACAGGTTCTCAAGTCTCCTGTTTGTGTCAGAGTGCTTGCTTTCAACACCCAGCTGCCACTCCTGACTCCAGCTTCCTGCTAATGTGGACCCTGCAAGGCAGGGGTGACTGCTCAAGTATCTGGGCTCCTGCCAGCCACGTGGGAGATTTGGGTTGACTTCCCAACTCCTGGGCTTGGGTCCCAGGCCAGCAGGAGGCTATTGTGGGCAACTGGGAAGTCAACCAGTATAAGGGAGATCTCTGTCTCTCCCTTTCTGCCTCTCTAAAAAGCAAATGAAATTAAAATCTAGGGTTTTTTAAGTATTTGAACAATCCATCTCTGAGCTTGTATGAAACACCTCATTTCCAATTTGTCATTCTTTTCTTTATATTTTCCCTAACTTTTTGAAGCAAAGAGAGGAAAGAAATAAGATACAGGGAAGTAAAGAATACTGACTTGGGCCTAGCATTGTGGCATAGTGGGTAAAGCCACCACCTGAGATGCCGGCATCCCATATGGGTGCTGATTCATGTCCTGGCTGCTCCACTTCCAATCCAGCTCTCTGCTAATGACCTGGGAAAAGCAGTGGATGATGGCCCAAGTACTTGGGCCTCTGTTACCTACATGGGAGATGTGAAATAAGCTCCTGGCTTCAGCCTGGCCCAGCCCTGGCCATTGTAGCCATTTGGGGAGTGAACCAACAGATGGAAGATCTCTCTGTCTCTCCCTCTCACTCTGTTAACTCTTTCAAATAAATAACTAAATCTTTTTTTAAAACAAAAAGGAATACTGTCTTATGGTTACATATAACTTATTATTCTATGCCAATCACAATTCTGTAGTTCTGAGCTCTATGAATTTTTTGAAATTCTGAGGGAGATTCTTGCCCTATTCTTCCTACTTTGGAGACCCTAATCCTTAGTTTAAGGATAAATATCAGGGGGCCACCACCGTGGTATAGCCAGTAAAGCTGCTGCCTGCAGTGCCGGCATCCCATATGAATGCTGATTTGAGTCCTAGCTGTTCCACTTCTGATCCAGCTCTCTGCTATGGCCTGGGAAAGCAGTAGAAGATGGCCCAAGCCTTGGGCCCCTGCACTCACATGGGAGACCCAGAATAAGTTCCTGACTCCTGGCTTTGGATAGGCCCAGCTCCAGCTGTTGCAGTCATTTGGAAAGTGATACAGCGGATGGAAGATCTCTCTCTCTCTGCCTCTGCCTCTCTGTTACGATGACTTTCAAATGAATAAATAAATCTTAAAAAAAAAAAAAAGGATAAATAGCAGGGTAGGCATTTAGTGTGGTGGTTCATGTCACTGCTTGGGATACTCATATCCCACACTGAAGTGCCAGGTTCTGGTTCTGACTCCTACACTTACAATCCAGCTTCCTGCTGGTAGCCAGCAGATCATGGCTCAAGTACTCTTGGGTCCCTGTCACTCATGGAGATCAGCAATGAATTCCTGCTTTTTGGGCTTTTGCCTGGCCCAACTCTGGCTTATAGGTATCCAAGGAATGAACCAGTGTGTGGAAGGTTTGTCTCTCTCTCTCTCTTTTTTTAAAGATTTTATTTGAATGTCAGATTTAGAGAGAGAGGTAGAGTCAGAGAGAGAGTGCGTGCAGTTTTCCTTCTGCTGGTTCACTCCCCAGGTGGCTGCAACGGCCGGAGCTGGGCCAATCCAAAGCCAGGAGCCAGGAGCTTCTTCTGGGTCTCCCACGTGGTGCAGGGCTCCAAGGACTTGGGCCATGTTCTGCTACTTTTTCAGGTGCATTAGCAGGGAGCTGGTCTGGAAGTAGAGCAGCCGGGACTTGAACAGGCACCCATATTAGATACCCGTGCTGCAGGCTGAGACTTTAATCCACTGTGCCACAGTGCTGGCCTTTCTGTCTCTTTCAAATAAATGAAAATAAATAAGTAAAAATTATCTAAATATATTACCATCATAAGAATGGTATAAACTAGGATTATTCTTATCTAAATATAATAGTTTATCTCTTTAATATGGGGCAAAAAAATCTCTCCTTAACTAACTTCACTTCGCTCTAGCTACTTTTCTATTTTGCTACATATTTGAGCTGAATAAATTATTCTCTCCTTACATTTGCATACACACTCACACACTCTTAGATGTCTTGTTTGTTTTTTGTTTTGTTTTACAACTAACAGTCACTGAAGGGAAGAAATACTCTCTCTACTGACCTTCTGTTGGCAGAAGAGACAAGGTGATAAATAATGCCTATTGATTACATTGCTAAAAATTTTTAAAATTTTAAGCCTCATAACAATCTTGAGGTAAATAATACTATTATTTTCATTTTATAGATGAGGAAATAAAAACTTCAAGACGTTCACTAACTTCCTCAAAGATACACGGCCAATGTCTGAGCCATATTCAAATCCTTGTCTGTCTTACTAAAGCTCTTGTGAATTCTCTGTGTAAGAGGACAGATTACAATCAGAGCAAAACAAATCCAATCTTGCAGCAAAGCCCATCTCTTCCCATTGCTACTCATCCAATTATCTTATGAGAAAGTGGAGCACAGTGTAAAGTTCACAAACTCTCCTGTCAGGTGGAATCTGGGATTATCGCCAATCTTTAAATTCTGTTACGTTTTAATTTTACATAATAACTACACATTTCCATCCCACTAAGTTGGTTTGAATCTATACAACTTACGTGTACTTATTTTTGGTTTTCCTGATGCAAAAACTTGAACAGAATGCTGATCCGCATAACACCCAGTGAGTGTGTAGTCCAGGATTCTAAAATGAAGCTAGGAAAAGAAGAGAAAATGCACCAAACTGAGATGATGATTTAGTAAAAATTAAAAAAAAAAAAAAAAAAAAGGAAAGGTCATGTTTCTTCCCTTCAACATGATTGTGAGGAATTTATGTTAGGCAGTTCACAAATACCAAACTGTGTGTGTGAATGTGTGTGTATACATACAGCGCACACAGAGTTTCTACCTTTGCATTGGGGCCATTTCTTCTTACGATGCCATTATGAATTGCGTGACATATGCCAAGCACTTCACTGACATAACCTGTATCCATTCCACAAGGCACCCACGAGGGAACTGAGGTTCACAGATGGAAGCAAATAGCTTCCCAGTGCTTCAGCAGCCAAGCTGCATCTGAACTCAGATCTGACTGGCTACAAGAGCTGGCTGGGCTCTTGAGCACAGCTCTTGGCTGTGACATAGTCTCTTACACACAGGAACATACATTCTTCCAGCAGAATACAAGAAGGCAATGACTAAAACAGAAGATTGGTTTATCCTGTGTCTGTGGGAAATGACTTGTTCTATGTAATTCTCCAGAAATCTAAAATTTAACTTTTACAGAACTAAGCTTAGAAGTTTGATCTTGTGGGGGGGGAGGGAGGGTGCCAGGCACAGTGAAGGTGCTGCCTGGGAAGCCTGCATCCCATATCAGAGTGCCTGGGTTGCGGACTTGGCTTCATTTCTGATTCCAGCTTCCTGCTAATGTGCACCCCAGGAGGTAGCAGGTGATGGCTCAAGTAGTTGGGCCCCTGTTACCCATATGGGAGACCTGGCTTAGGCCTGGCCCAGCTCTGGCTGTGGTAGGCATTTTGGGAGTGAACTAGCAGATGGAAAACTTCTCTCTGTTGGTCTCTGTCTCTCTCCCTTTCAAGTGGATAAAAACTAAATTAAAAATTTAAAAAAAGAGATGTTACTCCTTCCTTCACCTAGAAAATTCTTCTAATTATAATCTATAGTTTCTAGATTGCATTGATAATGTAGGGTTATCACTATAAATGCCAATTATCATACTTTACTGAAACAGAGCCATTAGTATGTTCTCTATGAAGGCATAACATTGGGGTGCCTCTGAGTCTTATGTGAACTATGAAAAAAATTTTTATGTTACAGAGCTAGTCTCCTTTTACACAGTTCCCCTCATCTCTACTGATAAACGCTCTAGATTTTCCAACATCCTGGTATCTTTTCTATATTTTTTTCCTCCGATCTCACTTCCCTGCCAATTTCTTCCACTGTCTTTCTCTTTTAATTGCAAAATTTATCACAAGCACTGGATGTGATTTAGGATTTGATGTAATTTTGAGATCTCAGCAATGTTTTCCTGTTGCAACTCAAATCATTTCTGATAGTAAAGGGCTTTTGCTCGCTTGTTTGGTATCATTCTGAAGCTGTAAGTCATGGCAACATTGATTTCCACACAATAGAGATACCATAAAACTCATTCAGTCTGGGGCTGTGTCGTACTGGGTAAAGCCACTGTCTGCAGCGCTGGCATCCCATGTAGGCACCTGTGTGTGTCCTGGTTGCTCCTCTTCTGATCCAGCTCTCTGCTATGGCCTGGGAAGGCAGCAGAAGATGGCCCAAGTGCTTGGGCTCCTGCACCCACAAGGGAGGCCCTGAAGAAGCTCCTGGCTTTGGATTGGCCCAGCTCCAGTTCTTGCAGCCATTTGGGGAGTGAACCAGCAGATGGAAGACCTTTCCATCTCTCCCTCTCTACGTCTGTAACTCTACCTCTCAAATAAATAAAATCTTAAAAAAATATATACAATGAAGCAACATCTGATATATTTTCTAAAAAATACTTAAGTAGGAATTTTTATAATAATCCTTGAAACAAAGCTTGTGAACATAGCTGAAGCCAAGAAAGAAGTAATGAGTTATCACCAGCATATTTCTGACTTTACTACCTCTTCTCATTAGTGCCTGTATATACAGATTGTATTTTCTATTCTTTGATTTCTTTGGTACCATTTGATTTAGATTTTCTTGCTACCTTTTTGGTGAATTCTTTCAATTATCTTCACTGGTTCTTCTGAATGGTTGCCTCATTTGATCTTTTTTGATCATATTCATTTCTATTGCCTCAACAATTTCTTTTCTGCAGACAGCTCCTAAATCCCACACAGCTGAGCTCTCTCTAGAGCACGGATTGGGAATGTCTGGCCCATGGATCACCCATGAAATTATCTGGTCTGATCCTGCCAAAACAACTACAGGCCAGTCTTGAAATTCAATAAATCTACAGCAGGTTAATATTTTAAAAAAGATTTATTTTTATTTATTTGAAAGGCAGAGTGGGAGTGGAATGTGTGGTGAGATACACAGAGACAGAGATCTTCCATCTGCTGGTTTACTCCCAAAATAGCCCCAAGAGCTAGGGCTAGGCCAGGCTGAAGCCAGGACCCAGGAGCTTCATCTGGGTCTTCCATGTGAGTGCAGGGGCCCAAGGACCTGGGCCATCTTCTACTGCTTTCCCAGGCCAAGCAGAGAGCTGGATCGGAAGTGGAGCAACCAGGACTAAAACTGGCGCCCATATGGGATGCTGGCACCGCAGTTGGTGGCTTTCCGTGCTATGCCACAGGGTCAGCCCCAAGGCTTTACTTTTATCAAGGCTCTTGCAACATTCCTTCTCTTTTTCTCTCTTCCTTTCTCTTTCTGCTGACATGACACTGGGTCACCATCATTAACTTAACTACCTTTCATTTGGAATATTAATAGAAATATAAAATGATTTCTTTGCCTCTATTTTTTCACTCACCTTCTTTACATTCAATTCACATGAATTCATAAAACCTAACTTTGTGAAAGACTACTTCTCTACTCAAAAAAGCACATCAGCCAAAGGAATAAAAGGCAGAGTCAAACCTTCTATAATATAAACCTAAATTATGAATTCACCTTTGCATAAACTAGTATTTCTAACAGTGGTTCCTAATTATGTCTTGTTAATCCTTCTTCATTTTTTTTGGTAAAGATTTATTTATTTATTTGAAAGGCAGAGTTAATGAGAGAGAGAGAGTGAAAGAGAGAGAAGTCTTCCATCTGCTGATTCATTCCCCAAATGGCTGGTACCAGACAGAACTGGGCCAGGCCAAAACCAGGAGCCAGGATGTTCGCCCAAGTCTCCCACATGGGTGCATGGGTCCAAGCACTTGGGTCATCTTCCACTGCTTTCCCAGGCACATTAGCAGGGAGCTGGATCGGAAGTGGAGCAGCTGACCTGGTGCCCATATGGAATGCTGGCACTGCAGGTGGTGCCTTAACCCACTGTGCCACAACACTGGCCCCCTTCATGTTTTAAAGTCACTTTTATACCTAAACAAGAGTTAGTCAATCTTTAAGGTTTAAAATTCATGTTTACCCAGGTTTCAGAGTTTAGCTTAAACTCCATCTTCACTGTAAAGCCATCCTTGTCCCCTCAGCCAGCAAGGCTCACTGTCCTTGGCAGACCAAATAATGCAGAGTGCTGCTCCCTGATGGCATCACGGAAACTCTCCAGAGCGCGAGGACTGCATTGTGTGTTTCTGCATAACAATCTCAATCTGGTAACGAAGAGCTGGGTACTAAGAGGTGAAGCTGGAATGTTTAGGTTATACTGAACTATTTCACTTAAAATTTTTTTTTTTTTTTTTTTTTTGTATTATAAAGATCTTCCTTCCGTTGGTTCACCCAACAAATGGCCGCTACGGCCGGTGCGCTGCGCCGATCCGAAGCCAGAAGCTGGGTACTTCCTCCCTGTCTCCCATGCGGGTGCAGGGCCCAAGCACTTGGGCCATCCTCCACTGCCCCCCCGGGCCACAGCAGAGAGCTGGACTGGAAGAGGAGCAATCGGGACAGAATCCAGCGCCCCGACCGGGACTAGAATCCGGGGTGCCGGCACTGCAGGCAGAGGATTAGCCAAGTGAGCTGCGACGCCGGCCTCCCTTAAAATTTTTAAGTAGTTTTTTTTTTTTTTTTTTTTTTTTTTTGACAGGCAGAGTGGACAGTGAGAGAGAGAGACAGAGAGAAAGGTCTTCCTTTTGCCGTTGGTTCACCCTCCAATGGCCGCCGTGGCCGGCGCGCTGCGACCGGCGCACCGCGCTGATCCGATGGCAGGAGCCAGGAGCCAGGTGCTTTTCCTGGTCTCCCATGGGGTGCAGGGCCCAAGCACCTGGGCCATCCTCCACTGCACTCCCTGGCCACAGCAGAGGGCTGGCCTGGAAGAGGGGCAACCGGGACAGAATCCGGCGCCCCGACCGGGACTAGAACCTGGTGTGCTGGCGCCACTAGGCGGAGGATTAGCCTAGTGAGCTGCGGCGCCGGCCTTTTAAGTAGTTTTTTAAGTGTTAAGTGAAATAGACAAATGACTAATACTAAACAAAAAGAATAAAAAAGGGACTTAGCCCAGACAAAAAGAATAGAATTCCATAAAAATATTGAAGAACATTAAAAATCAACTACAGGCAGGGCTGGCGCCGTGGCCTAGTAGGTGAAGCCACAACTTGAATGCCGGCATCCCATATGGTTCTGGTTCGAGACCCGGCTGCTCCACTTCCAATCTATCTCTCTGCTGTGGCCTGTGAAAGCAACGGAAGATGGCCTAAGTCCTTGGGCCCCAGCACCCATGTGGGAGACCCGGAGGATGCTCCTGGCTCCTGGCTTCGGATTGGCGCAGCTTCGGCTGTTGAAGCCAACTGGGGAATGAACCAGTGGATGGAAGACTCTCTCTCTCTCTCTCTCTCTGCCTCTCCTTTTCTCTCTCTATAACTCTAACTTTCAGGTAAATAAATAAATCTTAAAAAAAAAAAAATCAACTACAGGCAATTTAAATGCAAAGGAGGAGCTTTAATGTGGTGAGCCATTTAAATATGTTTACCTTTAAATATGCTGTACCTCCAATACAAATCGGGTCAAATGGCTGCTTCTCATGGCTCTTGGCTCCAAAAGTTACAGTTCCAGAAAGACTAATGTCCATTGATTTGGGAAACTTCTGGCCTAAAATCACAAGCACATCAATCAACTACTAACAAGGAGATTCTACAGCAAATGAAAAGCAGGGGGAAAAAAATAAACAAAACCCTGCTCACCAATAATCCAAACCAATAAGCCTTTCTCTCGAAATACTTCAAGCTGGCCAAAACTAACTTTGTATTCCAAATGTGTAATTGGGCCTCTTTAAAAAGGAAAGGGACAAAATACAAAGACAATGAGAAGATCAGATATATCACTCCTAAGAGTTTTACAATCTTGCTACTATTAGTTAATATAAAGACAGTATAAAATCAGATTTCTGTTCAAGTGTGCAGAATAGAACAAATAATGAACATTTTTGATGATATAGATTTCATTATTGGTTCTAAAGAGAACTATAAAATCATATAGGATATACTAATACAATCATACAAGTTGGCATAATATTAAAAACTATGATTATTACTATATATTTTGTTATACTTTAAAACTAATTATACTGCAGAATAAATCTAAAACTCATGAAGAAGTTTATGTTACAACTGGCTAATTCACCATGTTGTTGGTTGGGCTATATTCGTATGTAAAATATAGAGAAATTACTAGAATTAAAACCAGTAATAAAAGAATCCCTCTGGAAACTATAATGGCTTAAGTTTATGGTACATTAGCAAGTTTAGTGAGAAAAATGAAGAGGCATTTAAAGGTAAAGAATTACTTTTATGACTGTTTTGGTTCAAAATCAGCATGTACTTGAATAAGATAAAATACTTTAAATCTTAAAAGTATGATTAAAGAAATAAAGACAAATAATTATCTGGGGGCAGCAGGAATGTACTAAGGTTGGCCAAAATCATGACGTCATGTTATTTCACTCCTACCTATTGTAAAAAGGTATGTGAGCTTCACAGAATTCAAAAGTGTTTTTTATACTTTCATGAAGTTTTAAATTAACTGTTATTTTTAGCTGTATGTCTTCCTCCTTTATTTGGTAAAAACCCAAAATTGGCGGAACAGGAACCTGAAAAAAAAAATAAACAAATTTTATATACTTTTCAGAATAACAGATATAAAATATCAATGGTGACTGAAAAACAAAGCCTGGCAGTACTATGTTATATACATTAATACATTATACTGTGTATGTGTATACACTGCATATGATACATACATAATGTATATTTTATATAATAGTCATTATATAAATACAGGACTAATGGGTAACTCCACCATTTTGACAGTAGCCAAAACCGATCTACATTCATTCTAAGGGTAGGGATTCTTCCATTTCTTTCTGTTCCCAGAGATGAGAAAGGTGCCTTTCAAAGATGGACAATACATTCCTGTTCCTGCTCTTGTTCATCCGTCTTCACCTGCTCCAGGTTCTTTGACTTGTACCATAAAGAACATGTACCTGGACAGACTGATTCCTGCCCAGAGCTCTTGCTGCTCCCTGTGTACCCTGTGACTCTCCCCCAGCCCCCAGCCCTGCAGATTACCAGACTGGTCATCATGCTCGGAGGGGAAACTCTCTGTAGGCTAGGGTGAGTCAATCATTCTTTTTGTTATATGTGAAGGCACAGAGAAATTCTATTTATACAGCACAGGTTCTAGAGCTGTACAGTCACCAGAAAGCAGAGAAAGTCAACTGAGAGACTGAGACAGACAGTGTGGACCACAGATAAAGAGAGATTTTAACTTTAAGTTTCTGTTCTAGTCCCAGTATGGTCTAGGTCTATTTTTCTCTTTCTTGAATGACCATAAGATTGCTTATTGCATTCTCAAATTCCCTTTACTTAGTTTACCTTATAAGTTTCTCTATCCTGTCTATTCATAATTAGGACAAGAGACTAACCATGCAGTAAAATAAGTTGGGCTTCTGGGGCTGGAAAACATGGACTCAAAGTCCTGCTCTGCCATTTATCATTTATCAATTATACGACCTTATGCACATAATATAACTTCTCTGAGATTCTCATCGTAAAATAGGGATAATGAGGGTTAAAAGTACCAGACAAAATACATGTGGGGTTTCTAAGACAAGGTCTGACACACAGCCATTAGTCAATGAGCAATGAATAGCTATAATCATATTATATATTTATAAATAAAGTTGCCTCAGAGTACAGGTATCTTATACACATTGTTAAAACCATGACTAAATAATACCAGAATCTATCTTTTTTTTTTATTTTTTATTTTTTGACAGGCAGAGTGGACAGTGAGAGAGAGAGACAGAGAGAAAGGTCTTCCTTTGCTGTTGGTTCACTCTCCAATGGCCGCCGCAGCTGGTGTGCTGCGGCCGGCGCACCGCGCTGATCCGATGGCAGGAGCCAGGTACTTATCCTGGTCTCCCATGGGGTGAAGGGCCCAAGCACTTGGGCCATCCTCCACTGCACTCCCGGGCCATAGCAGAGAGCTGGCCTGGAAGAGGGGCAACCGGGACAGAATCCGGAGCCCCAACCGGGACTAGAACCCGGTGTGCCGGCGCCGCAAGGCAGAGGATTAGCCTAGTGAGCCGTGGCACCGGCCAGAATCTATCTTCTGACTATGGACTCCTTACTAGGGAACATTAAAAACCAAATAAACTCATCAGCTAAAAATGCATCAACTAAAAACTATTTAACACTGTTACAGACACCAGAAATAGGAGACCTGAATCTTCATCTTCATTCTTCAACAACTGGTAAATAACTCATAAAAAGTTGGAACAAGAATATGAATATCTGCTTATCCATGGTCACCTGTAAAGACAGCCAAGTTTCAACCTTTCCAAGATTGTTTACCTGGGAAGTATAGTAGCATAAGTTGAATGATTCTAGAGGTGGGATGAATGGAAATTTGTAAGGTCCACTAAATGCAGAATCATCCATTCCATCAACGCTACTAGAAGTCAGAATGGCAGAGTCAAGAGATGTCACACAAGGATGAACCAGAATGTCTTGAAGTGGAGATCCATTGGTGGGGAGATGCAAGCTGACAGTTACATTTGGCATGAATCCCTCCAAATCACACTGTAATATAAACGGAAGTGGCTATTACCAAGATCTCAGAAGCATGTAGCTGCAGTCAGTCTGAGGCTTTTCTGAATTCATCAAAGTCTTTTTCCCTAACTTAATGCCAATCAACTATCGGCATTGGCGCCCATTTCCCTTCTGAAACTTTACATTTTTGGAAAATAAACATTGTTATATTTTTCTTCACATCTTAAATGCCTAGCACATTGCTATGCATAGGAGACACTTAAAAATGTTTTGTTGAGTGGATTTTAAAAAAGTTATGGACTACCCAGTTCTAGTATAAAATGTTTCACTTTTTAATGCTTTAGCTACTGCTTGACATATATATGAGTTCAAGAATTTAGAGAGCAGGCAGTCATTATGAATACTGCCACATACAATGAATGCTTCATGAAGGTCTGTTGGTGACAATTACAATAATGTAGCTGTCAATGCATTTGAAAATAAAAATGCCAAATAACCTTACTTCAAAACTTTAACATGTTTTAGTGCGTCAACTTTTAAACTACTTGCTAATTTACTTTTTATTTGTGAACTACTAACAAAAACTACTTTTGGTTTTTGATAGTTACATAGTAAAATATGCAAATATTAATAATACCATTGAAACTTAAAAATACTGTTTATGCTTATTGAACTAGCTCCTAACAATCCAACATTCAAAAAGGGGTCACAGAAACAGCAATCATTATGGAAACCTCTAACAAGTTGTTTGGTATCAATGCACTTAACCAATCAGCCATTTACTATATCTACAAGGAAATCTATTCGAGAAGGAATCAGGTAGTACACTCCAGATCAATCTGCTATATGTAAATCTCAGGTCTAGGAAAACAGAAAGCATCTAAGAACTTTTCTCATTTTTAAAATGAGAAAAGATTCACAACGTTATTTTCTCAAAGGCACAGAAAATTAGTGAACAAACAAACAAACAAAAAAACAACAAAAAAGAAAATTAGTGCTAGTGTGAGGATTAAAACTTCAATCCACAGGCTTTTGTTTCTACTGGACTAAGATCAAATGAAGAGAATTATTTCTATTTACAATGAGCTTCACAATAAAACATCTTTAATAAATTCCTGAGGTACTTAAATGTTTGGCAAACAGCTATGCAACTTACCTACAACTTATATAAACATTTAGTATGTAGACTATACTACAGTCCTATTTTTTTTTCAAGATGTCTTTACTTATTTGAAAAGGAGAGAAAGAGAGATCAATTGATCTTTTATCTGCTGGTTCACATCCCAGATGGCTGTAAGAGCCAGGGCTGCACCAAGGCGAAGCCAGGAGCCTGGAACTCCTCTAAGGTCTCCCATGTGGGTGGCAGGGGCTCAAAGACTTGAGCCACCTCTGCTGTTTCCCAGGTGCATCAGCAGGGAGCTGGATCAGAAGCGGAGTAGCTGGGACACAAACCAGAGCCCATAGAGGATGCCAGCCCATCTGGCACTGCAGATGGCAGCTTATCCCACTGTACTACAGTGCTACCCCCATTTTTCTTTTAAAGGATAAAGTTTCTTAAAGAAGAAAGTTCTCTATCATGATAATCTGTATTAGGACCAAGAATGAGAACTAAAATCCAAAATTCCATAAACAACAAACTAGGATCCATCTGTCAATGAACTGAGACATTTAAACAGCATATTAACATTATATTATACAACATGTTTCTTACTCTCATTGAATGACAAAGAACTAGAAATGGTGAATTTTCCTACTTTTATTTTACTGAACTTATGGTGATAAAATGGTTCAACTACATTAAGATTTCTGATTGATATAATCTATGAAAATTCTGGAGCCAATTACAAAGGCAATGTATTTGTGATCAAGGTAGAAGTGAGTTTAAAAAGAGACACAAAACTTTTTCATCATTTTAAGGTGAAAAGAAGAAGAGGGCTGGCACTGTGCCATAGCAGGTTAAGCCTCTACCTATGGCACCAGCATCCCATATGAGTGCCAATTTGAGGCCCAGCTGCTCTACTCAATCTAGCTCCCCGCTAATGCAGCTGGGAAAGCAGCAGCAGATGGCCCAAGTGTTTGAGCCCTGCCAGCCATGGGGCAGACCTGGAAAAGATCCTGGCTCTTGGCTTTGTTTGGTTTGGCTCCTGCCGTTGTGGCCATTTGGGGAGTGAACCAGCAGATGGAAGACCTCTCTCTCTCTCTCTGTATAATTCTGCCTCTCAAACAAATTAATACATCTAAAAAAGAAAGAAAAGAACAGAATGATCCAATATCCCCATCTGTACTATTCTATTTCTCTGTTCTTGAAACATACTTTTATCTATAGTCTTTATAAAGTAAGTTTTATGTATAAGATGTTTACATTCATTGCGTAGAGACTAAAGAAAGATACCAGAAAAATAAACATAAATACGAGTACTATTAGTATATACTCAGAGGAACCTTACTTGAAGGATTATTTTTGACTATTAGTCAACCTGGCATTAATCCTTGCTAACTGTATTACTATTTTCATTGTTTCTTTTCCTATTTTCTAACCATAAACCAGAGTCATATTTTTTTTTAATTAGCTGTTGCTTTCTTTTTTTTTTCTTTTATTTATGTATTTGAAAGACAGAGTTAGAGAGAGAGGTGGAGAGAGAGAGAGAGAGGTCTTCCATCTGCTGGTTCACTCCCCAGATAGCTGCAACAGCTGGAGCTGAACCAATCTGAAGCCAGGAGCTTCTTCCGGGTCTACCACATGGGTGCAGGGGCCCAAGGATTTGGGCCATCTTATACTGCTTTCTCAGGCCATAGCAAAGCTGGATCAGAAGTGGAGCAGCTGGGACTAGAATCGGCACCCATACGGAATGCCGGTGCTTCAGGATAGGGTTTTAACCCACTGCGCCACAGTGCTGGCCCCGAGAGTCATATATTAACCTATTGACTTGTTTAAATAAAACAAGAACCCTTCAAAATGATTTTAGGTTTCTGCCAATCTGTCAGTTTCACCCCTTAGAGATAATGAAAAATAGGCAAGATGATTTCAAAATATGCCCACAGGGGCCAGCGCTGCGGCATAGCAGGTAAAGCTGCTGCCTGCAGTGCTGTCATCCCACATGAGCGCTGGTTCAAGTCTCAGCTGCTCCACTTCTGGTCTAGCTCTCTGCTATGGCCTGGGAAAGCAGTGGAAGATGGCCTAAGTGCTTGGGAACCTGCACCCACATGGGAGACCCAGAAGTAGCTCCTGACTCCTGGCTTCAGATCATCCCAGCTCTGGCCATTGTGGCCATTTGGGGGAATAAACGAGTGGGTGGAAGACCTTGCTCTCTCTCTGTAATTCTGCCTTTTAAATAAGTGATCTTTTTTTTTTAAAAATCCACAAACTCTTTGACAGTACTCTTCACAAGGAGGTGCCTAATTCCACACTCCTTGAATGTGGACTTAGTGACTTGCTTTTAAGGAACAGAAAGTAGTGGAGATGATGCTATGTGATCTCCTAGGTGAGTAATAAAAACAGCTTCTGCCTGTCTCTCTTTTTCTCTTTCAGATCATTCCAAAGGAGGGAAACCAGTCTCTGAACTGTGAGGACCCTCAGGCAGCTCATTGGGAAGTCCACAGGGTAAGGAACAGAGGTCTCCCTTCAATAACAAGCACCAACTTTGGCCAGCCTCTAAGTTATCTTGCAAATACAGGTGGTCCTTCATGTGAGGGTTCCAGCAAACAACCCTGGATCAAAACATTCGGGAAAAAAAATTACAATCAAAAACTGTGTCCATGCAGAACAGTTACAGACTACTTTTTTCCTTGCCGTATGGTACAACAATTTATATAACATTAACAATGCTTTAGGTATTAAAAGGAACCTAGAGGTGACTTAAAGTACACAGGAAGATGTGTATAGGTTATATGCAAGTAAAACATCCAAGATTTTGGTAACTGAGGAAGGGTCTGGAACCAATCCCCCATGGACACCAAGGGATGACTTTACATCTTCTAGCCCCAGGCACAACTTCAGATGACATTTGCTGCAACAAATTCTGATTACTCCTTCTAAGAGACTCAGCACTGGGAATTTCCCAGCTAAGCTGCTCCTGAAGTTCTGACCCACAGAAACTATGGGGATAATACATGTTTATTTTCGAGTTAACGGGAAAATTCATTACACAGCAATGTACAGCTAATATAACTGGTAAAGAATGCAAAAAAAAATTTCACAACTAACATCTAATGACTGCTGCTTAAGTTAAAAATCAAGAATGTTATCAAACAATGTAAAACAGTTAGCAACTTAGCAACTTTTACTTTCCTTCTTGTGTATAGAAGGGTACAGTAAAGCAAATGTCAGAGAAACTCTCACCTTGCAAGTGACTGCTCCAACTACTTGCCATGTATCTGCTATATCCTGTTTACCATATTGCATGGATTTTACCTTTTCAGTGATAGAAATGGAAACTTGGGGTTTTCCTTTGTATGTTCCAGCTCTCCAGGCTGGCTGTTTTTGTGGCTGAGTCACAGAAGCAAAGCCGACATTATCTAGTGAATTCTGTAAGTTGGCATCTAACAGAGTTCCAAATGGGCAAGCCTGGAGAAGTAACTCAGGCAGCTGGCTCAATTTTGTATTTAGCTCAGTGTCACTTTTTTGACCTGAGTAAAGAAAATCCTGTATCCCAAAAAGCAGCTCCAGGCCTTGAGAAATCCCACTAATGCTAATTAATGGTGGACGGGGGTTTAGAGTTTGTTCAACCAGTGGAACACAAGCATATATCATGTCATTCTTCAGAAAGGCAACAACTGGCCAGAGTTCTTCACTTCCTACTGGGAGTCCATAGATGGATGTTTTATTGATGCGTGAACAGCTATCACGGCTCTCAACGAAGTCCTTATCATCACCCAGTAATCTCAGTTCGGAGAGTAGTGCTTTGAGAAAGGGACCATCTTCAGGAACAGGCACATAATTTGCTCCATTGTGGACGCTGGCTCGTTTTTCAACAGTTGGATACCGTCTGCATTATGGAAACAGAAACATTATATATGATTCTTCCAGGTAAAATCAAAACGGAAGAATTTCAACAAACACTTAAAACACAAGGTAAACAACAGTAACAATGAAACCTTAACAACAAATACATACACATACCCACAAAAGCCAACAACTGAAAATATTATATGTTAAGTACTATCACAACAACTTTTTCATGTTTGTGGTTATCTCAAAATATAAAGTATCACTATTTACTAATGAATATGCTTCCTTCAGCACAGTGATTTCATTTTTAAATAGGTGGAGTTCCTGATTCTAATTCAGAATCCTTGCTTCTCAGCCACTAGAATTCCCTCGATAGGCAAGAAGCGTATACCAGGACCACTTCAGGCATTTGTAAGGATTTTCGCCCTCTGATTCCATCTTAGGAGCATAGGATCAAAGAAGCCGTTCAACTTAACCCTCCGCGATTTTGCATGCACTAGTTGAGATGCTACTATTTTAAATGAATAGTTTTACTACACTGAACCCGCAGTGAATCCCAGGCACCTTGGGTCTTCTTGCTAACGCCTACAAACACATGGAAGATCATTTTAATAACAATTATTTACATTTATAGGCCTGGAAGATACTAGGAGGCAATCAAAAAGAAGAACATCAGAGAGTCCTGTATGGTTTGTATGCTCTGGGTTGAATGGTAAGTTTTTAATTCACCACCCCCCTTTGAAAATAGAAGATACTTTTGCTTATTTACAGAACTCTGTTAAATTACATTTTCTTAGTTCCCAAAATTGCACTTTTCCACATTCCTTTTCTTTCTACTTCAAAGTCCATAACAAAGTCATCCATTAGCTATTAACTTGAATAAACCACCAAAATCCTTAAGCTTACTTTCTTACTTGTAAAATAAAAGGGTGGGAACAAATCAGATTTTATCAATGGTCAAAAGCCTATCTAAAACAGTATTTTTCACTAATCTGATGCATTTTCCTGATTGAGAAAGGCAAAAAATTAGCTATCACACTGTAGTGAACTAGCAGGTAAATGACATTTCTTTCTTTAAGTCTCTAAATATGAACAGTAGCTAACTCTGGACTAAACCATAGTCTTATTCTCTATTTATCTATAGGAAAATTAAAGTTCTTAGGGATACAAATTTCATGATTGAAATAAACATAAGAAAGAGGAGAAGTTAGTCTGATCTCCTACATAATGCCTGCATTTGTTAGATGACTCAACCTGTTACTTCAAATTTATTTTGGCCTTTTTCTAAAACAGGACTTAGCCCTTAAATAGCCCTAATTATGGGTTACAATAGCAACTTAAACCACACTTTAGCTGATGTTATTACTGTCCGGACAGCAATTTTTAAACAAGTTTTGTTGTATGTATGTGTGTGGGGGGAAGAGGCAAGCCCAACTTGCCTTACCAAGTTTGAAATAATGGACATTATCCTTAGACTTACCCATGGGTAAGATGTAGCGAATACTGTTTGGCCTTAACATCAGTCCCAGGGGTCAGAAAACAGGATATAAGAAAACAATTAATTTGTTCAATTTGTACAGAATTAAAGTGATAGATGGGTTAACTGAATCCAATTTGTTGCCTCCACAGAGATGCTGAAAAGCTTCCCCAAACATATTTGCATTTTTCTTCTAAAATATTGAGCACAGTGGGAAAACAATCTGAAAACTGTTTTTTAAGTAGTAAAAATCTTACCTCTATGAGATACTAAGATAAGCCACAAAGTCACATACATATTGGTTCGAGGTAGCTAATAAGACAGACTGATATTTATATCGGGGACATAATAAACAGTACCAATAGCTCCACCAATCAAGAAAGGAAAGATACACTGATTGGAAGATGGTAGTAGGAAAACTGGCCCACAATACAGAGAAAAACAAAATGACAGTCCTACTTAACACTATATCCAGAGATGGAATACAGATGGGTTAAAGACCTAAACACAACAGATAGAATTAGAAAGTTTAAACAAGATAATATGGGGAGAAATCTCTGGCAAATATGGACAGAAGAAGAATTCAACAAATTCCCCAACGCAGTAACTACTCTGAATGCATAAAAATTAGTGACTTCTGTTTAACCACGGGCAACACAAAGTCAAACAGCAATGATAAATCAAAAGGAAATACATGAACTACCAAAAAATGACATGGTACTAACATCAAGAATACACAACAAACTCCTACAAATCAACAGGAGAAAAACAGCAACTTTCAGGGAAGAAAAGGACACAAGCAATTCACTGAAGGAGAAAGCAAGGACTGGTAATCATTCCTGCATGGAGACACGCACCTGAAGATATCCTTCCCTGGCAAAAATCAGAGTCAGGGTTAGGGGAGAATGGAGGTACAGGAGCCTTGCTCACTGCTGATGTGCAGGTGGGGGGAAGCAGAGGTGTGCCCCAGGGACTGGCTGAGGCAGTCCACATCAGCATTGTTCTGACGGCTGAGAGCTGGAGGCGACTTGGGAGAGGAGCACTAGGCTAAGAGGACAGGTGAAATGTGGAGGAGACAAACCAGGAGTGCTACAGAGCAGGTAGAAGCAACGGGCTAGCTCTGCACGGTCCAACATGGGAGACACTGGCCACGCGGAGATACCTCAACTTAGAGCTCAACACCCACGTGCGGCTCGTGGTTAGAATATTAGCCAGCGCCACTGAAGGACATTCCCGCTTTCCCAGCATCCTAGAAATGCTACGGGCAGTGCTGCTCGAGAGGAACACAAAGTAACGGGATGTTTGCCACAAACATGACAAATGCAAGAAAAGGAAATGAAGTCACATTTAATTATTACTTAACTATGCAATTTCAAAAATACAAATAAAAGGCTAAAATCAAATATGCAAGAGTTACCTGTGAAGAGGAGGAGAACAGTAGAACTAGGAACCCAAAGGGAATACGGAAGCAAAATGAGGGGAACCTTGGATGGACCCGAGAGGCTGACACACCATGGAGCAAAGAGTATTATCAGCCTCCTGTGCTTGAGGTCCGACAACAAACCTAGGCCAGGCCTCCTGGGGAAGCCTCTGAACACCAACTCTGATGCCCTCGGTAGCGGAAACTGTCTGGGGTGCAGGAAGGAATTTTCCCGAACCCACGTGTCATGCAAGTTTACAGTCATTTCAGTCAATTCCAGTAGGCCGCTTCCCTCCTAATGGAGCTTTCCTCGGCAAGAATAAACCGCCGGCACACAACCTGCAGCGCCACCGTGAATAAAGATGCAATACAACATTCGCCCATCACTCACATTTTTGTTTTTCAAGGATTTATTTTTCATTTACTTGAATGGTGGAGAGACAGAGAGAAGTCTTCCATTTGCTGGCTCACTCCCCAAAACGGCCACAGGAGCTGGAGCTGGGCCAGGCCACAGCCAGGTGCCTGGAGCCAGGCCTCCCAGCTCCGTACAGGGGCCCGAGCACTTGGGCCATATCCGCTGCTTTCCTAGGCCACGGCAGGGAGCTGGATCGAAGTGGAGCGGCCGGGTCTTGAACCCGGGGGGCCCATATGCAATGCCAGGGTGGCAGGAGGTGTGTTAACCTGCTAGGCCACAACCCTGGCCCCATCACTCACACTTTCTGAGCTATCGCACAGTTCTCGTTACAGAGCTATTCTGACAAAACATGGCACATTCTAAACGTGGGCCAGGTCACCTACACCACCTAAGAAAAGGTGAATATAATCTTATTTTTCGACGTCTACTTTAACAATTAGGGAGTCTATCTGAGGATGTCTGGCCGTGACACACTCTGAAACATGAAAACAGGCTGCTGTTCAGCCAGGATTCCTAAGCAGGAGGTAAAACGCCCCCGAGTGATTTTTTTATCAATGAAAGCTGAAAACCGGGAAACACGATTAGTACTCAGTTCTCTCCCCTCCCTTTCCCCTGCGATGCTGAGCAGGCAGAGTCCGGCTGAAGATGCAATCGCACCAGTGTGTGTGTGTGTGTGCAGCACAGAAATAGTCGGTATGGGCCGGGCAGCAACGCATTTACTCCTCACAACACTGCGAGGTAGGAGCCCTAAAATCTACACTCCGCGGAGTGAAGGGGCCTGCCCCAGGTCATGCAGCCCTGCGTGGCGGACCTGGGTCACCCACCCCCGAGCCCCGGGCCGGCAGACGCGCGTTTACCTGGAGAATTTCACCGTGCCACAACGCGGAGTCCCCGGCTCGTGGCTTATGAGCCACACCGCCCGCTGGGCCATGGCAAGCCGCCGACGTCTCAGCTCATCGCCTAAGCAAGCTGCCCGGGGAGACTGGCTTTCTCCGATGGCCTCGCACCAGGCATCCGTCCGGCGCCACCGACGGGCGGGTTTCGAACAGCACCGGCTCCTTCACGGAGGAGACGAACACGCGACCCGCTCCGGGGCAAAGCACAGCACAAAGTTCCCAGACCCTGTGCACGCAGAAGCTCCCGAAGCGTACTCGACCCCAGGACTTGTCTTCCTCGACAGCCCACTTCCGGGATGGTAGCCCGCAAGGACCAAGCTTCCTCGGGCGCCCGCGCGCGGAGCCCCTTTTTCGGTTCGCCCGCCGCTCGCGTCCCTCGCCCGCCCCTCCCGCCCGCCTCCCGGGCGCGCGCAGCTCCACTTCCGGCGTACGAGGCGGTGACAATGGGAGCGGCGCGGGCGGCGCCGGGAGGCAGCTGACAGGCGTCTGCGGCTTCGCTTCATGGCCGCCCTGCCGCCCCGCCTGGGCTCTGAGGGGACTGGGGAAGCCCGCGGGGGCCCCGAGCCCGAGCTGGCGAGCCGAGCGGGGAACCTGTGCGCGGCGCCGCGGAGGCGCAGCATGTGAAGCCAAGACGGCAGCCAGCGCGGGGCGATCCTCCCAGCCGGCCGGGATGGCCACGACGGCCGAGCTCTTCGAGGTGGGTCCCGCGCGCGCGCGCGGAGCGCAGGCCCGGAGCGGGGAGCAGGGGCCGGCGGCGGCGGTGCGGAGGAAGGGGCGACCGCGAGGGGTGCGGCGGGGGAGGGGTGGCGGCGGGCCGAGCGGGGCGTCGCGGAGGCCGGGGTGACGGGTGCGGGGTGGTGGGTGGGCGGCGGGAGCCGGGAGCCCCCGGTGCGGCGAGCGCTGGCTCCCCGGGGCGCCGTGCGGAGGGGGCCGCCCCGCGCCCGACCCCGGCGGTGTTGGGGGGATCTCTGTCGGGAGCGGGGCGCGGGCGCCTGCGGGTTTCCCGGCACGTTCGAGAGGATCGGGAGTGGGGTTTTATTTTCTTTTATTTTTTTGGACAATGAAGGCCTATTGAGTCCTTCCGATTGGAGGGCGGCGGAACTGAAAGGAGCTGGTGGGTTGGGATCGTGCGGGAACTGGGGTGTTGTTATAAAACCACCCGAGGAGCGACAGGTGACGGGCGGTGCGCCTCGACTGTCGTGTGTTTCCTTGAGCGATGTCAGGATCCAAGCCTCAGCGTTTGATTTCGTGAAGCCCACGGTGAGGGCCGTGGTGTTTGAGATAATAGAATGGGAAAACTCTGATCGGACGGATGAAGCATCTCCTGGCGTGGAAGGATCCAGATGAGAGCGAGCAAGCGAGGCGCCCCCCGCCCCCCCTTCATGTTGGGTGTACGCTTGTTTTTCTTGTTGAGTAACCAAAGTGTGAGTAAGAATTGAAAACACTGCGGCTGACAAATGGAGACTTTCTCCTTGAGTGAAAATTGTGTCCAGAAGATTCAGCAGTTTTTGTGGCTTCAAATTTGAATATCACAGTTTCTGTAACAAATAAAATTCTATTGTGCGTATTTTTTTTTCTTTAAATGTTTAACCACTTTTCGCTTATTACATTTTGGGTTTTAGTTGGTCAGTGTTTCGATAAGTAATAGTAATTTATGAGTGGAGGATTTATACTTACAAGGGAGACTTCAGCAATATTGATCGCATTTTCTCAGACTGAAGTATTAGGAGATAGAGTACATTAATTTTTCTAATTTCAGAATTGTGCCTGGAGCAAGGAGACCTTGTTCTTGCTAACAAGTTTTACTTTGCGCCCCTGGGCAAGATACTAAAGTAGTTTTGGAGTTCCTTGTTTTATTTTTCACATCTTCCAAAAGGGGAAAGCTGTTTATGGAGTTGTTTGAGATCTTCACTTAATGAGTTTCGTTGCAAACCCACTGTTAACAGAAAACTGTTACATTGTCCTACAGTTCACAAGACTTTATGAATACTGGTTGAGGTTCCCAGTTGTGTCTTGCACTTTATTATGTGTATTTTTTCAAAAACCTTGACCGGGTGATTTTAATAACTTGTTTGAAATGTATATTTGATTCCTGTCCTCACCCTCAGGAGAAAGAGTAGGAGGTGGAGAAATAATGTATCTTGCTTTCTACGGTACTACCATTTGTAAAGTAGTTAAACTAAGCTAGTTTAACTTAATTTAGTGACTCTGGTTACATGGTAATCATAGTGATGATACAGACTGTAGTCTGGTGGCCAGAGGGTTCTTAGAACAAATTTAAACATATTTATAGGTTTTAAACTCATGTGTCTTTTCCCTCTGACCATTTGTGGCTTATTGCTTGGTCAAAATGTGGAGGCATGTATTTGTACTTAGAATGAAATGCTCCCAGTTGCAGTTAGGAAGTGTCCGTTTTGGGTTGATTACCAGTGCAGCCCTACAGTGGTCTCTGACCTCTTTGCTTCAGGAGGAGAAGGGAGGGGGGAAAAAGCAGCTCAGTCTCTGTTGCTGTTTTCTGTAGCTACTACATTAGGAGCCAGGTCCTAGGATAAGTTAGGGAGTGTCTTTCTCTTGCTTCCCTTTCTTAGTCACAGCTGAGAACTGTGGAAAACATAGGGCCGGATGTTGTCAGCCTACTTTTTTTTGCGCATCCTGGTTTTCATGCACTATCAAACAGAACTATGCTTTCCTTTTCCACACTGAAGAGAAGTTAAGTAACTTAAAATTAAATTTTTCAATTCATGAGGCTTCATTGTGTTAACTTTTACCCTTTTAAAGTTCTTTTACTAATGCTTTACTAATGCTTCTTTAACAGAAACAATTTCATACATAAAATCAGAACTGCAGAATATTTCCTCTGTTGACAGAAATAATTTAGTAATAGATGACTTATTTATTGTAATAGCCTATATCCTAGAAACTGCTCAGAATAGGTTTTTAGTTTCAAACCTTGCTAACAGATCTTTCTGAAAGGATTCTTCTGTTTGGGTTTTCTTTTTTTAAAGATTTATTTATGTATTTGAAATTCAGAGTTACACAAAGAGAGGAAGAGACAGAGATATCTTCATCTACTGGTTCACTCCCCAAACAGCCTCAATGGCTGGAGCTGGGCCAGGCGAAAGCCAGGAGTCAGCAGATTCTTCCTGATCTCCCATGATGGGGCAGGGGTCCAAGCTCTTGGCTCATCATCTACTACTTTCCCAGACACACTAGCAGGGAGCTGGATTGGAAGTGAGGCAGCCAGGACTTGAGGAACCAGTGGCTTTATCTGCAACACGGCATCGCGAGACCCAGGATTCTCCTGTTTCACTCCAGGATGGACACTGTGAACAGGGATTCCATATGGTTTGGATTAATTATACTTTCTACATATAAAAAGTAGCTTGGATAAATTCATTTTCTATTGCAAATATTCCTCTTGCTGTACTACTAAGAACATGGACTGCTTTCTTATTTGCTAATTTTCTTTCCTACTTTTTAAAAGTCTTCTTTTCTTCCTGGGCAGGCTACCTTTGTGAAGAGTTCTTTGTAAGATCCCTTACTCATTCATTCAACAAATCTCTCTTGATTACATAGTAGGTAGAAGATAAGGTGCCAAGTAATGAGGCTGCATGTCTCAAAGGGTACAATTTAGAAATACTAATCCTACAAGGTGTGCTGTAAGAAGTCCAGAATGGTTCAGAGGTCAGATAAGTTATGAATGGACATAGTCTGTTCATTGGCAATTTCCAATATATCTTTCTATATTTATATCCCAACTTATGTTGACTGTGAGACTGCTTTCTATTCTGTACTTCTTAACTTGATTATGTACTTAGTTTGAAAAATGTAGAATTAGATGTAGAAACCATCCTCACCATCAAATAGGGAAGAAAAGGTAGAAATATAACAACATTCTCTAGACAAAGTTATAAATGGTATCAAAGAAGGCTAAAATTCCAAAGGCATTTAGAGGATGGGAAGGAAAGGATTAGAAAATGGCATTTGAATTATATACAAAGATAAAATAGTTTGTGGAACTGGGTGGAGGGGCTTTCCAGTAAAGCAGACTATGAAAGTGCATAAAAAGAAGAGGACAGGCCTGGGAGACAAGGAAGAGTTCATTTTGGCTGGATATAGCACACATGAAAAGGGGGATTGGCTTGTAAGGGAAATAGGGATTTAATTGTGGGGATCCTAAATAAGGAATTGGAATTTGACTTTTTTTTTTTTTCCTATAAATGTAGATATCTTTGTAATAGTGTCTGAGGTCAGGTAATTTGTCTATGGTGGCAGTGGCTATTTGACTTCCACCTTAGAATGTGAGTATCGCAGACACATTTATGTTTCTCTTAGATTTTTTCAAACTAAGTTACAAAAACTATTTGAAACAGACTTGTTGAAAAAAGTGTTTCCTGTTCAGTTAGCTAGCTAAGCATGTGTTTGTGAAATTGAGATAACACAAGGGAGGAGTACCCTTTACCCTCAAGGTGCTAAAATGCTATTTGACCATATCAGTTGTTAAATAAGTATTTGCAGAATTTGGCTCCCACTTATAGTATTAATGTATTAATTAATTATTAATTCACTAAACACTTAATCAAATACCCTGCCTGCCTGAGACCAGACATTTCAGATACTGGAGTTAAAAGATGTTGAAGTAAAAATCTAGTTGAAGGAGGTGGACAGGTGAACCAGTAATATAGTACAGTGTGAGTAGAGAATCTCTTCCTGTGCTTATTAGGAAAGGTTTCATGTGGTAATGACATCCAGGTTGGGTGTTGATTGATGGGTAGAAAGCTGGAGAAGGGCATTCTAAGGCAGAGAGAGAGGTGACTCCAGTTTGTAAGGTGAGGGGTTTTGAGGGAGTATTGAGAAGGGATATTTAGGAACAGGGAGTGATGGTTTATGCCAAGGCATTTAAACCAAGGAGTTTGGGAACATTGTGAGAAGGTTTTCATAGACCATGCTTAAGGGGACTGACTTGAATTTATACCAGCTTAACTTCAATAATACATAAAAACTCTGCTCCTTTAACAGGTATGTCCCCAACCCTTTTGAGGTGATAACTTGCTGATAATATTTTAGAGGATCCCTTGTATGTGACAGTTCACATTGTTCATGCTGCTTTCAGAGTTATCTTTGTCTTTTGAAAGTTTGATTATAATGTATCTTGATGTGGATCTCATTATAACGTTTCTTGATGTGTTCATCTTACTTGGAGTTCAGTAAGTTTCTTGAATGTTTATATTCACTTTTTTTTTCAGATTTGGAAAATTTTCAGTCATTATTCCTTCAAATACTTGGTCAACCCCTATTGCTCTGTCTTCTCTTGAGACTTCCACAGTATGTATGTTGGTTTACTTGGTGATATTCCACTATTTCCTTAATTTCATCAGTCTCTTTTCTGTGTGTTTCTCAGACACAGTAATTTCTATTTCCTGTCTTCACAGTTTCTTTCTTCTGCTTATTCCAATCTGCCTTTAAATTCCTATAATGGAGTTTTCACTTTGGCTATTGTATTTTTTAGCTCCAGAATTTGTTTTCGGTTTCTTTTTAGGTTTTCTCTTTATTGACATTTCCATTTTGTTTGTACATCATTTTCTTAACTTTCTTTGCAACTTCCTTTATTTCTTTTAGCATCCTTAAGACAGTTGTTTTAAAATTTCCAACTAGTGGATCTACCATTAAGTCTTTTTTCAGGGGTGGTTTCTGTTA